TCCCTTTTGTTTGGAAATTCAATTCCACCTGTTTTTTTTTTTTGCTTGCTGGAACCACAGTGGCCATCTTTGTGTCCTTATGCACAACAAATTGTAGTTACACACACATTTATGGAAAACACAGTATCTCACAAAAACGGATCCCTAGAGCAGTGGTGTGCACAGAACTCTGCTGGAGCAGGGGTGAAATTGTGTTCCTGGGGGGTGCTGGGTATCCCCCTCAGTTGAAATTGCAAAAAGAAGTGTACTGTAAATTGTTCCACCTGCAAGTGTTAGCCAGCAGTCTCAGCACAATCAGTAGTAGTACAATCTTTACCATCTCCCTCGGTTGAAATTGTTTTCCAGGGTACTGCAATATGACTGAAAGGGCACTTTACACCCTTAACCCTCAAGCAGCCTTCGGGACAAGTTTGGGAAAAAGTTTATTTATTTTTTCTAATAGTTTCCTTAATCTGAGCGGTACAAGACATGCAAGTGCGGTACAAGAAATTCCTGGAACATGCTACTTGTTAGGTTTATTGTTTATTCTTAGCAGTTTGGTACCATTTGGTAAAATTTTCCTTTTTTGAGTTATTAAAATTTTATGTTTTTTTTTTTTTAGAAATAAATGATTTCTCTGTCTCTGTTTTGTCTTTTCCTTATAGCATGGTCATATTTGTGTGCAAGCATATTTTGCCATCTTTGTATAGTCTCACCTTTTAATTTATGTATTTATTTTTTAAATTGTACAATTTTAACTTAAAATAAAATAAAATCTATGCAGTTGCATTAAATTGCTTTAAGAAAACAAAACTTAAAATAAATGTTAAAACTTAAGAGGTTCAGTTCATTAAAACAATGGTTTATAGATATCAGCCTATATCCAGTCATTGAGTCCTACAGATATTTGTGATCATTTTAGATTTTAATGCCATCATATGTCACCAGGTGTCACCAAAGTCACAAAAAGTTTAGGTTTTGGCTGCACCGAAAAACATGATACTAAATTCTTTTAAGGTAAAAAGTGGTTGCAAACAATTTATTTTAGCTACATTTAAAAAGAAAAAGTTGAAAGTTAGTCAACTAAAGTTATTTAAATGTAGCTAAAATAAATTGATTGCTATATATATATTTTACTCAAGTAAATATCGAAATACAACATCAGAATAAGTATATTTTACATAAAAATGTTACTTTTAGAGGTAAACATTTTTTTGAATACACCAAAAATGACAACAAATGCACAAATTTATATATTTTTTATATTATCGAAGATAGTGATTTATGTATTTATTAATTTAAACTAAAAATTGTGATCACGTCTGTGACCTTCGTGCCCAAATTTATCCACGAAGGTCCAATTAAGGGCTGCTATACGAAGGATGCTTGAGGGTCAAGAAAAATGGTTCTAAACACTACCAAAAAAGGTTTCTTTTGCTTGTAACAATAGCAGAACCCTTTTTTGGTGCTAAATAGAACTCTTTCTAAAGGGGTCCATAAAGAATCATGCTTTGCAATATAGCTATATAGCACCTTATTGGTGTTATAAATAACATTTTTAATGATGTATTTAGTTTATTAAGATTAGTATGTTAGTATATTTATATCAGAATATTTGTATTATTAATATTATTTGTATTTATTATTTTATAATATTTTTTTACCCCTCTGTCTGCCTGGTATTACAATATCTTGTAGTCTTATAAGGTTTTACATAAAAACAACAACATGTTGTGGCAATTAAGTAGTTTATTTTGTATTGACATGTGAAATTGTAGCATAATGACAGTGCTCTAACAACAGTTATTAGCAAAATACTTTAATAAGTGGCAATTGACATTGAACATAAATAAATACTTAAAGAAGTAAAACAAAACAGAAAATATTGTAATGAAGACCAAGTTACAGTAAAATACTGTATTTTCATAATTCCTCTATGATGCATTACATACATCATTATGTGTATTTTGTTGTGAATTAGTGGCAGTTTCTCTCTGTAGACAATGTTTAACGATGTGACAGCATCTGAAATACAGAATTGAGTTTAGAGTTAGAATGTGTTTCCTTCCATTTGTTTATGTAAAAACAATAGTTTATGAAGGCCAAAAGTAGTATGTGAGCGCTTCACAATGTTAAAAGGAAAAAGTGAAATAAAGTCATAGAATAGCGTGACTGAGTATGTTTATGCATAAACCCAAGTAATAAATAAATACATACAAAATTAACAATATGGACCATAAATTAAATATTTTTGTTACTTACTGAACAGAGCTGGTCACACCTACATGTTCTCTTAAAGAGAGAAAAAGACATGATTAGTAGGAAACCAGTAACAATTTAAAAGTTATAATTTATATAAATTTAAAGAAAGAAATCATTTACCTGTTGAGAATGTGCTGACAGTCTGTGTAGTTGAATAGCTGAGAAAATCAGTAATGAGGTGCTTTGACAATTACAGATTAGAAAAACAAAAAGCCTGGAATAAAGAACCA